ATTTATTTTTGGTTTAATAATATATTTTTTTATAAAGATAATAATTAAGTATTAGAACTTGATGATCATTCCAATTATATTCTAGATTTTTTATATTTAAAATGAAATATTTATTTTGTATTTGATTAYGTTTATCTCTAGTTAGTTACACGAATTCAAACATGCACATTTAATAAGTTATATTTAAGTATAATTTATTTGTAATCTTCAATTTTGAGTATTTTTAAGAGTTTTTCTCAAATGTTTTATAATATAACATAAATAATATATAATGTTTCAAGTTTATTTAAGTTTGCGATGAATAATGGAGAAAAAACAGAAAAATGTTAAATCAACATTTAATTAATACTAGTAATTATAAAATATGTTGTTTTGTTATGAAATTTGTGAAAATAACAAAGCTCGTAAGTCGTAAAACATTTGAAATAAAAATAGTGGGATTTGTTTAAAATCAAAATTTTAATGTTTTGTTTTATTCTAACCCTAATTAGGGCAAAGATCTATGGATCATATATTAGGGTTCATACATCCGCATATATAACAATATATTTTGAATACGTTTTAACTTTTAAATAATTAATTTTTTTTAATTCCGATAATTACATGATTACATTAAGTAATACATRTAAATTATCGTAATTTGAATTCTTTCAAATTTAACTGATTTTTATTTGAATTTTTAAAATACAGGTAATGTGACACATTTTTGTAAAAAAWTTGTTGATTATGGTTTTTTAGAAGTAAATAAAAGTAAATTCATATTATAAAAAGATTACACAAAACTACTTAAAAATAATATGTTAATGATTATATACTAGCAATATTAATAAAGTAGCTAATGTATAAATATAAAGGGAAAATTGTATGAAAAAATAACATACTTTAACTTGATTCATATTTTGGGTAACGTACTTTTAAAACTTTCATTTTGGTACCTAAGATGTAAAGTTTTAAACATTTAAGTACCCGGGTAACCACTTGAAGACTAAAATTAGATTAAAAAAAGACTAATTTTATTTTTGAAAAAATCCACGTCACTTACCACGTCAGTAAATAATACCGAGTTGGATATCACATCACTCGCTACATCAGCATGATAATCGGTTAATACTTCAATCTGTTACCCGGGTACTTAAATATTTAAAACTTTACATTTTAAGTACCAAAATGGAAGTTTTGAAAGTATGTTACCCAAAATAGGAATCAAGTTAAATTACGTTACTTTTTCATGCAATTTACCCAAATATAAATGTCTTCAAACATATATATTATGAAAATTTTCCTAATATTAAATAAAACTTTGTTATACAAAGTTTGCGTTAATCCAATAAATTTTGTGCCCGATCATAAATAGTCAGTCACCTTATTAATTTATTGTTTTCCATTTATCCATGTCAAAATAAAATGAAAGATAATATTTAATGTTAATCATTAATTATAATTAATTTATAAGATAAAATGAAATTCCTAAATAAATGAAGTTTAAATCCACCAAGCCAAATAAAATTATAAAACGAGAATGCAATTTATATAACCATATTTTGTGTGATAATTTCAAAAACTTGACACTTTTTATAAAAATAATAATATTTTATATTTCTTTTWAAAAAAGTACTCAAATTTAGGAAAATTGTCAATGTAAAAATCATTCACATTTTCATTTTTTTAAGTATATAATATTTATATTTATATACGTCAAATGTAACAAATAAACTCATACACTCTCCTCACTTATGGTGAGGTTTGAACCCATAATCTTCTAGAAGGCCAAGAGCTACGATACTGCTAAGACAAAGGCCCTTTGGTACATTTTCATAAGTTTGATGGCTTATAAAAGTAGATGAATTTTTTAAATATTTATTAATACATTAAATGTTAGTCAGAGGCTATTTGACAGTTGTTGAACGATTTGGTGTTGAATGATTAAGAGACTTTCGTAATATAGTGCAAAATGAACTATAATTGTTCGGTAATTGTTTACGA